CCATTTCTATCAATGAATAACTTAGGCGAATGACATTAACAAGATCTCAGTTGAAATTTGATTAAATTTGCTAACTTACAAATTTTAATTTAGATATTTTCTTTGAATTAATTTCATGAAATCTTCAAAAAATTTTAATAAATCTATTTTTTTCATTTAATGATTCATTTATTTAGATTAATTTTATTTTTTTTCAAATATTAGATTTCCATCTCATCTTTCTTCTCTCCATTTTACACCCAAGTACCAATTTTTATTCCTTTCATATTATATTCACCATTGTAAGTGATGAAATTTGATCCCCTAAAATCTTGAAATATTTCAACCTCTACCCACTTTCCAATTTTAATCTAATCTTCTCCCTCAGCATACGATCCTCCACCACTAAAATATTGTAATATGCACCTATGATTAATTAATATATACATTTATTTTCCCCTGTGGATTATATCCCATCTACCTACTTTCTCACCTTTCATATTATATTCGCCAAGACAAGTAACAACTCTATGCTATCCAAAATTCTCCCACAAATCTACCCATCTTCCAATCTTAATCTAACCCTCTCCATATGAACCACCACCACAAATAAATTTTTTCTTTGAGAAACCAGAAAACCATACAAACCATATATCCCATCTTCCTATTTTCATGCCTTTCATATTATATTCACCTTCAAAGGTGACCTCTCTATCCCATCCAAAATTCTCCCACTACTCTATCCACCTTCCAATTTTAATTTCACCTTCTCCCTCACCATATATTCCACCACCACTAATTTATTATTATGCCCCTATACTCATCTAATTTTTACATTTATTTTTTCTTGCATGCTATACTCCACTTACCTACCTTCATACCTTTCATATTATATACACCATTTAAAGTGATTTCTCTTTTAATTTCAAAATTATCCCATAAATCTATCCACCTTCCAATCTTAATTTAACCATCTCCCAAACCATATATTCCGCCACCTCTAAAATATTAAGAAGCATCTATAATTATACACTATTTACATTTATTTATATTCCTCATCTTCATTTTCAAAATATTCACAACATTTATACATAATATCCCATCTACCTATCTTTATGCCTTAAAAATTATATTCCCCTTTATATAAGACTTACCTATTTATCCCAAATCTTTTGTCAAACTCAACCCATTTACCTTATTTTTAACCATATTTATTGTACAACCCTCCACAACTAATCAATTATTAAAATAATTACATCTTATTTTCTAACCAAATATAATTCCAATTACCAATTCTAAGGTCATTCTCATATTCTCCAATTTCGAAAGCTAGATTTTAACTTTTCATAAGTTTAAATATTTATAACTTACTCACAATAGTTTAGGAACAGATCCTTCCATAATCCTTGCTTTTATCCTTCCATATAGTATCCACCAACATTCTTTAGAAATTCATTATTCCAATAAACCATCCATTTACCAACTTTTAATTTGCTCTTACTATATTATCCTTACCAAGAAAGATTTTAAATTTAATCCATATTATTTTATATTTCATGAATTAATTTCTTTTTCAACTTTTAATAAAACTTTTGCATTTTCCATTTATCGAAAACATGGCTTATTGTTTTTTTGAAACCCTATACAAATAAAGATTTTTTTTTAGAATGGAGTATCATACTTATAATCAAGCATTTATCAAAAATTACTTTGGATATATCTAAAGTTATAATTACTATTCTCTTTCTAATCTTTTTTCTCGCCTTTTTCTAATATAAAAATACACCATCATTAATACATTACTACAAAACTTAGAAAATTTAATATTTATATTCTCCAACAACAATATCTCATTTCCATATCTTTGTACCATTATTTCATTCAAAAATATAAATGAGTTTTTTATCAAAAAAAAAACACTTTTTGTCCCATCATTTAATTAAATTTGAAATAAAACAATCGATTCATCAAAAAAAGTCTAGACGTGCGAAAAATTAATTTTTTCAATTTGGAATCATTTTTTATTGAAAATTTTAGATATTAATCATCTCCACAAATGATTGCCTTACATCCATTGTTCAGCTGTTATATTCATATTTTTTAAATTTAGAAATCGTATTTTAATTAACCAATATTGATTGGTTTAATTTAAAGTTACTAATAGCTAAAATTTATAAAAATTCTTATTATTTTTTTTAATCATTCTAAGTTTAATAACTTTTATTATATAAATAATTTTGACTAATTTAAAGGTATTCGTAAACACAAAAACGCAATAAGGGGAAATAAAAATTTATAAATTATTAATTACTCAAAATCAATATTCTAGATTTGCAGTTGATTTCATTTCAGCAGTAGCAGTGTGTTGAGTATTAGATTTTAAATCTTCGTTAAATTTCTAGATCAGTAATTTCTATCAATGTGAGTATAATTTAATTATA